AGATTATTTTTTTATGCAGGGCAGAGCCTGACCATGGAGACGTTTACTTTGTGAACTTAGGAAGGGCTAAATCCACGTTTTAAAAGCCCTTCCCTGACTTTCCATGACCCAGAGCAGGTTTCTAGGAATACAGAAGGAGGAAGGGGCACCTGCAGCTGATAACCAGGACCCTCAGTGATGTTCAGTGACTTTAATTAATATAAAATGTTAATATAAAATAATTCAAGTGTGAGTCAGGGATGCAGGTTCCTTTTGTGATCTCTGATTGCACCGACTTCCAGAGCTGGGCTAGGCCCGAGCTGAGTCTTAGCAGCTTTTAATCCTGGCATGTGTAAAACCACTTGAAGAAAGTTTAGGACCCAGCAGGTGCCCACCCCATAAATCAGTCCTGCCAAAGCCTGGCACAGGCTGGGATCAGATCCAGAGGGTGCCCAGGCTCCTCCTCCAGGATTACACCTGGGAGTCACTGACTAACAATGGAAAAGCATTTCCTCCTCCTGAAACCTCCAGGGAGGTTGGGAGCTGTTTGGATGGCACAAACCCAGCATTAACTGCTCCTTGACTGCAGCAGTGTGTGCTGCAGTGTCTTCTTGGAGAAGCCAATTCCATGTTTTTTCCTTGCTTTCTTAATCCTGTGGTGTTAAAATTAATCAGGATTCAGGGAACCAGTCCCCTGTCTGTTGGTACTGAGAGAACTAATTATCTAAATGAAGTTTTGTTGGTTTTTTTTTTCCAAAGGAACTCAGGTGTTGTGCCAGGTTTTTGTTGGAATACAGTGAAAATTGGGGGCTGGCTGTTTCCTTGGGCTCCTTGGAAAACCCTTTGGTTACTCAAGCTCTGGGACCCTGGAGGTCACAGGGTCTTTTGGAGGCACCTTTAGTGTTTTGTTTCTTTGCACTGTGAATTTGAGAAGATTTTTTAAATCAGTGAATCTTGGTTAAAATGCTTCCAGATGGGATTTCCCATCAGGATCCAGCCATGGTGTGTTACCCCATGGGCAGAAGATGAGTTTGGGGCAGGAAAATGTTCCACTGAGGGACTCCAGACTCGAGTGCTGTTACAGGGTTTTTGGTTTATTCCAAGTTAAATTATTTTCTTGGAAAGATCCAGGAGGTTATTGGTGATTTCTTTGCCATATGAAGTGTGGAGATGCTGCTTGTGAGGTCCACGTGGGTTGGAAGCAGGAGGGAATCCAATCCCCTCTGCTCCTGGTCCAGCACCTTCCCAGGACCAGGAGGGATGGCTGGGAGGGCACCACATTTAACCAGCATTTTATTTGTGCTGAAGATCATTTTTAGCCATTGCTGCTCATTTTCTTCTACCCTGTGTTCTGCAGTTGAGAAAGGGAAGAGTTTCCCTTGAGTAAGGGAGGGATTTTCAGGAATAATTTCTTCCTGGGGCGGGTTGTTAAGCATTGGAATGAGCTTCCCAGGTTGGTGGTGGAATCACAGCCCTGCAGGTGTTTAAGGATGGGGCACTCAGTGCTCTGGTGTGGTTGAGAAGGGGGTGTTTGGTCACAGGTTGGACTTGATGACCTTGGAGGTCTTTTCCAACCTTAATGATCCTGTGATTCTGTGAAGGGAGTGGGGACAAAAGGACTTTTCCACTCAGCCTCAGAGATCACACCTTTTAACTTCATTTGTGCCCCAGCAACCCCTGCTCTTGCATTTGTCCCAGCTCTCACCTATGCAAAACCAGCTTTAGGAAGTCATTTGCAAGATGATTTCACTGGGATGGAGAAATCTCCCTCTGGGCAGGTCTTCCCACCCTCCACTGTTTGTTTCTCTAATGCACAGGTTCTGTTTTGCAAGTAAATAAATGCCTTTGATTTTTAGAGCTGCAAAGGAAACTAAAACATCTGCTCTGTGCTTCCCTTCCCAGGCAAAGGTGTGAGCAGAGAAGTGTGTTTGACCACCAGAGGTTACCCTGAGCTTGATCAGCTGAAAGACAAAGGTTTGAAGACTCTTTTCCCACCTCCCATCCAGATGGAAGGACTCCCAGGGCACTGTTGTTTTCTCATTGTGGACACTGGTTTCCTCCAGATTTTTTTGGATAGATGAGAGGTAATTGTGGCTGGAGAAAGGCACTGTGCCCGTGCACGGGGATTTTGGGGGCAAAGAAAGGCTGGTGGTGCCCGTCTGGGAGGTTGGATGCTGTGGGAATGGGATCTCCTGAGCTTCCCTGAGGGAACAAGCACTTGGGAGGTCCATTTTGCTAACTAGGGGTAAGGAATTGGTCTGATGGAGAGGACAGGGAGGGCTCTCCTGGAAAAGCTGGAGGTTTGGAGGCAGCCCATGTGTTGGAGCACACAGGATGGGAGAGGTGGACACTGTGAGTTGTTCTGTGGTGGCAGAGCTGAAAGTCTGACAGGGATTGTGTTGAAAGGATGAAGGTGTTGAGCAGAGAGGTTTTATTCCCAGGGATTGAGCAGAGCCTGGGGAGTCATGTGGAGTGAGAGCCAGGGGGGCAAGGATGTGGTGGGTTGGCTCTTTGTCCCCACATTGCTTTGGCCTCACACTGTTAATAACTCAAAGCTCTGCTGAGCTCAGGGAGGTGCAGAACAAGAGGGTTTTAAAGGTTTGGGATTGGAAAACCTGAAGCCAAATGTCCCTCATAGCCCCTGTTACAGCAGCAGACCAGAGCTGCTGGGGATGTTTGGTTTGCTCAGCAGGAGAGTGAAGATCTCCAATGTTTCAAGAGGTGGAAATTCAGTTTTTTCACTAAAATCATCATCTCTGCTGCAGGAGGGCTTGACTGAGTGCAGGATTGGCTGAGCCAAACTACACAGCATCAGCTCCCCTTCCTAAACCCCAGTGCCTTAAACTCTTCTTAAATAATAATCTTCTCCTTAAACCCTGGTGGCTTGGGAAATGTCCCCCTGGAGATCCTGTCCTGGACACAGACATTAACTGCTCCATCTGGATGCAGAGTGTTTGATGCTGTGGTGTGAGGTGTAAAAGGATGGGGGTTACAGTGTAAAAGGACCATTCCCAGAGCACTTCCTCCCTGTGGATTCCTGGGAGAAGCTACAAAACGAACCATTTTGTAGCATATTCCCCATTCCCTTTAATTTTTCCTGGTTTCAGCACAGTTTCTCTGCCACTGTGTAGTTGTGTAACTGCTGAATTTGGTCCATCATCTATGGAGGAGCTTTTTTTACCTATGACAATAATTCCTTTATGCTTTTATAATATTCCATAGCTTTTTATTAAATATAGACCACTTAATTTTGGGCTTGAAATGACCCATTTGACAGTTTAAAGGAGTGTTTCTATTGGGGAAACAACTGTCTTGATGCTTTAATATTAAAAAAAAGGGATGAAGAAAAAAAAGAGTGAGGGAAAAAAGGATAATTAAATCTCTTTGCAATTTAATAATAAAAAAAAAAAGAGAGAGAGGAAAAAAGAAGGATAATGCCAATGGCTGGAATGAATCCTATGATATTCCAGGCTGACAGAATAATTTCAAACAATAATAATGCAAAAAATTGCAACTTCACTACTAGAAAGAAAGTCATAGCAGCTGTGTTGTGTCTTGACCTTCAAAATTAAATTTATAGGATGCTGGTTAAATACAGGCTCAGCATTGGAGCTGCCTTTGTGTGCACATGGAATCCAGGGAATCTCTGGGTGGTTGGGAAGGCAGGGAAGGGCAGGGGAGGCTGAGGTGGGGTTTGGTCTCTGGCTTTGCTGTGTTTTGGTTCTGGTTTAATTGGACTGGTTTTGCCTCCAGGTCATCCATGCCTTGGGAAATAACAGATGCTGGGAGATGGAACTGCTGTGTCCTTCCTGCAGGAGAGGGCTCTGTGGAGCAGCTGTTGTCTGGATCCTCCTGGAAGTATCAGCCTCGTCTCCCTGTCCTTGGATCCCTCCCCAGGGCTCACGGGTTGGGTCTGAGCAGAACGAGCTGAGATCTCTCTGTGCTTTGGCACTTGGGAGCTCCTTGGCCACCCCATCCCAAGAGGTGACTCAGCTGTGCTCCTGGGAATGCTCAGGAAGCCAAGGGATGGCTCAGGTTTGGAACTGTCTGGATGGACACACCGGGATGAAATCCAGGCTCTGGAAAAGCACAGCTCAGGAGCAAAAGCAGGTCCAAGGGGCTTGTTGTTCCCATCAAATGACACTTTACACTGAGAATCTCTCAGGTGGCTTTAATGAGGAGAAATAGCCAGGTATCCAAACAGAATCTAATCAGGAGAAGCACCCAGATATCCAAACAGAATCTAATCAGGAGCAGTATCCAGATATCCAGACTGCATCTAGTCAGGAGAAATATCCAGGTATCCAAACAGAATCTAATCAGGAGAAATATCCAGGTATCAAACTGAATCTAATCAGGAGCAATATCCAGATATCCAGACTGAATCTAGTCAGGGGAAATATCCAGATAAAAAACCATAATCTAATCAGGAGCAATATCCAGATATCCAAAATAAATCTAATCAGGAGCAATATCCAGATATCCAAAATAAATCTAATCAGGAGCAATATCCAGATATCCAAAATAAATCTAATCAGGAGCAATATCCAGATATCCAAAATAAATCTAATCAGGAGAAATAACCAGATAAAAAACCATAATCTAATCAGGAGCAATATCCAGATATCCAAAATAAATCTAATCAGGAGAAATAACCAGATAAAAAACCATAATCTAATCAGGAGCAATATCCAGATACAAAATAAATCTAATCAGGAGAAATAACCAGATAAAAAACCATAATCTAATCAGGAGCAATATCCAGATACAAAACCATAATCTAATCAGGAGCAATATCCAGATATCCAAACAGAATCTAATCAGGAGCAATATCCAGATATCCAAAATAAATCAGGAGAAATACCCAGATAAAAACCCATTATCTAATCAGGAGCAATATCCAGATAGATATCCAGACTGAATCTAATCAGGAGAAATATCCAGATACAAAACCATAAGCTAATCAGGAGCAATATCCAGATATCAAAACTGAATCTAATCAGGAGCAATATCCAGATATCAAAACTGAATCTAATCAGGGGCAATATCCAGATACCAAAAATAAATCTAATCAGGAGAAGTATCCAGATACCCAAAGTGAAGGTAATTGGGAGAAATATCCAGATATAACCCCAGAATCCAATCAGGAGCAATATCCAGATATTCAGACTGAGCCTCTCCTCTGCAATTCCCGTCTCCACTGTTGCTGTGTTGGCATTCCCAGGACAGCTGGGCAGTGCTGGCCATGGCTTTGCCTGTGTCATACAGCTCCAGCCTTTCCCCCTCAGCCAGCCCTGGGGTCGGGGCTCAGACGGGCCCGTTTGAGTTTCCATCTCTGTGCCCAGGGCTCGAGGCAGAAGGACAGGGGCGAGAGCAGGGCACAGGCCCCGGCCAGGAGGAAGGAGCACGCGTAGGTCTGGGTGTAGTCGTAGAGCCAACCTGAGGAGACAAGGCTGGGGTTAAAGCTCTGGCATTTCCCTCACTGGAAAAAGTCATGTTGGGGAGGTGGGGGGGAGGCAAAGGTTGTGTGTTCTCGTTTCAGGATTCCTCAGTTATTTAAGCTCTTCCTGGACAGCATTTCCAGTCAGCACTAAATGTGTCTTCCTTCCCAGGGCCAGCTTTGATCCTTGTTGTGGGCATTGGGTTTAATTTGATTGAATTTAAGCCCTGATTTATTTTTTTCCCCTGTTTAAGTGGGCCAAAAGCAGGGTGCCTGAGCAGGTGGAAGATCCCAATGGAATGACAGGATGACTTGCACGTGTTGGTGTTTCCAACATCTGGGCTGCAAACCCCTCGTTTCTCCAGCCTTTTTTCTGGTGCCCCAATTTAATTCAGTTTTCTTCAGCCCCAATTTAATTCAACCTGTCTAAATGAGAGACCCCAGGCCAGGAGCTGGGAGTGGACTTCCTTAAAAGCAGCTTTGTGAGGACTTAAAAGGAAAAGCTGAATTCCATAAAGCCTCAGGAATCTGCGAGGGTCACCTTTTAAAGTGACCTCCAAGTGTTGTGTCTAGTTCTGGCAAAGGTGGGCAATCACTGGAAAGGGGGATAATTCCTCTGGTGGAATTTAAAATATCCAGAGTGATGGGAGATCCTGACACACTCCCAAGGCTGGCATGGGAGGTGGGGGAGCAGCTGAGCCAGATCTGCTTCTGGTGAGGTGGAATTCCTTTGGGGACATCCATGAGCTTCCAGGATTTCCACAAACAGCAGGTCTGGCCTAAATCTGGGATTCTGAAACCCGGGAAGGAACATGAAGCATCCCTGAGATCCTGGGCCTGGCCGTGTGGGAGCTTTGATGAGCAGGCAAGGGAAGAAATGGGGCTGAGTGTGAAATGTGGGGCTCAGTGGTGGAGCTGCTCAGTGATTTCCCGGCTGCAGAAGGGTTTGTAAAGGCAGCAGAAGCTGCTCTTCCCCCCTTTCAGTTCCTCCTGGCTCATTCCTTTCTCAGGGGAGTTTCTCTGGGTTTCTTTCAGGAATTTCGTGGGAGCCACAGCGCAGGAGAAGCTGGAGCTGTTGGAGAAGGGCTCCTGTGTTGCGGAATCTTTGGTTGAATTCTTTCCTGAACTCTCTCCTGACAGGGGTTTTTTATTTCTCCTAAGGTGCGGATCTGCTTTTCCTGCTCTTCAAGTCTCTGGGATGTGGTGATGTAGGAGAAGAGGCCTGTACTTCCAATCCCTATCTGGGAGTTTTCAGGACAAGCTGCCGCTGAGCTCAAGATTATCTGGAATTATTGGTATTTATCTTTCTCTTAATTATAGGATGAATTATCCTTATTTTTAATATGTCCTTCAGAGTATTTTTTGATTTTCCTGTGGGTTGAAGGGGACTTTTTGGGACCAATGGGATTGAGGAGCAATGGGATTTTCCAGCATTGCCTCCTCAGTGGCAGCACAGCTTCACCTCCCACCACATCACACCTGTAAAGCACCTCCAGGGTCTGTGCCCCAATTTGTATAAGAAATATATATATTTTATATACTATATATTTCATATAGTAAATATATGTTTTATATATTCTACATATTCTCTATATTTTATATATATTTTTTATATGTGTATTTTCATGTATCCATAAATTTTATATATTCTATATATTTATATTAAAATATATATTCTATATTTATATATTCAACATATTATATACTTCAGATAGTCTATATTATGTATATTATATTCTATTATTTATTCATATTCCTCTATTTTTGTATATAGAATTAGTATATTTATTTATTTTCCATGTATTGTATTTTATATTAGTATTATAATTATAAATATAATAATATTTATATTATTTAAAATACTTTAATTTTAATGTTAATTATTATATTATTCAATAATGATAACTTAAATGTAATATTTTATATGAATACACTTTATATCAGTATATTTTCTTATTACTTGATATTAAAAATATCATATTATAGTATTTTTTAGCACATTTCAATATAACATTTTTATATTATTTTATATTTATATATTTTATATATAATATTTATTAATATTGGTATATGTTAATTATTTAATGTATATATACTTTTATACATCCTATATTAGTTTATTTAAAAATATGTATTTAAGGTATGTTTTATATATTTTATATATTATATATATTTGACATATTTTCTGTATTCTGTATATTTATATTCAAAAATAATCCTTCCTGCTGCCAAAAACCGAATTAGAAGCTCCTGGTGTCCAAACACCAGCAGAGCAGCAGTTTTGGAAGGAGTGCTGGTAAATCCCAGGCACCAAAGCACTCCAGATGAAACACTCCTGGCACTGCTCCTGCTGGGCTCAGGTGGTTAAAATTACTCCTGGTGCCCTAAGTTGGAAAATTCCGTGGGCAGGTGAAGGTAAAATGTCAATAAAAGTGCCAGCCCAGCTTTTGAGGGGGCCCATCCTCCCCCCTCCCAGCACTCAGCCTTCCTGGGGCTGCAGTTTGTGTCCTGAAATTGGGGTTGGAGGCAGAATATATCCTGAAATTCAGGTGATATATGTGTTCTGTAATTTGGATTATGTTATATTCAGTTCTTTTGCACTTTGAGTTAATGATCTGTGCTGTTTGTGGAAACAAAACAAGCCAAAATAATGTTTTTCTGATTTGATTTGAGGGGTTTTTCCAGTGGTGCTGGTGGATGGGGAGCTCCAAAGGAGATTCCAGACTTTTCCCTCTGGGCTTTTCACTGAACAGATTTGCAGGTACGTCACCTTTCCTTGCATTGGGCTTTCTAATGTGCAATATAATAATATTTGAAATATTATTAATTTTAAATGCACTTATTTTACATCTAGTATTTTAAATATTATTAATTTTAAATACACTTATTTTACATCTGATATTTTATATATTTTATAGTTTTTATAATACTGTTATAAATATTTTAATAAATCTTAATGAAATCTTATAATTTTATAAAAAGTGATAAAATGAATTTATATTTTTGTGTTTTATAAATATTTACAAATATTTTGTTTTTATAAATATTCTTATAAATTATATAATTTATAGAGTATATGACAGATTTAATTATTGTTAAAATATTACAGTAGCTATAATATAACAATATATAATATTGTATATTGTTACATTATGTAATACTTTATATTATATGTTTGAAATTATATATATATATAATATAATCTTATTTTAATATTTTTGACCATTTTAACCTTTGCAGTTCTCATTATCCATCAGGTTTTGCTGCATAAAAGCACTTGAATTTTATAAAATCCTAATTCTTGAGGTTTAGGGAGGTCAGAGCACCAAACCCCAAATCCTGAACTCTGGGTTTGGGCACTTCATCAGTAGCATCTGGTTATATTCAGTTTTCATGAGAAAATGGAAGAATTTATTTGGATAAATTAATAACTGAACAATAAATTAACAAATGAATTAATAAATAACCTGGATCTTGAACTCCCAATTGTTTCCCTCTGGGTGGATCAGTGAGAGTTTTATTTCCTGGCTCTATTTGGCCTTTCTTTATCCCACCAGCATTAAACCAGATATCTTAAAAATCTGGAAAAAGCACGAAAAAGTTGGAAAAAAAGCTTTTTACTGGAAACCTTGTTTTCCACAACCCGGAAATGCAGCACTTCAGGGAGCAAAAGGCTTCCAGTTAATGAAAATACATTGCAAGGGCATGGAAATAAAACTGCAATGAGAGGCAGCCAAGTTATTCAGCTCCTTCCATGCTCTTCCCGTGGAGGGAGTTCAGAGGGATTGCTTTGTGCTGGGAATTCCTCCCATGCCAGCAGAGATCCCTCCCCCAGGGGGGAGCTCCCTGTCCATGAAATAAATATAAATGAAAATGTTTGGGCTGCTCGAAGTTGGATCCACTGACAGAGTTTTACCAGCCCGGAGATATTGATTAGAAAAATCAATTTTTGCCTGTGCTGGCCCTGCTAAAACTTCCCATTGAGCTGGGATTTCCAGAATCCTTGGCAGCTTCCAGCCAGGGGCCTTGGCAGGCCTTGGAGGGCAGGAGGCAACAAATGATGGTTTGGTTGGAAAGGACCTTAAAGCTCCTCCAGTGCCACGGGCAGGGACACCTCCCACCATCCAAGTTTATCCAGCCTGGCCTTGGACACTTGCAGGGATGGAGCATCCTCTGGGAATTCTGTTCCATCCCTCACCACACTCCCAGGGAAGGATTCACAGAATCACAGAATCAGCTGGGTTGGAAGGGACCTTTGAGATCATCCAGTCCAACCCTTGATCCAACCCCACCGTGGTTCCCAGCCCATGGCACTGATGCCACATCCAGTCTGTCCTTAAACACCTCCAGGGATGGAGAATCCACCCCTTCCCTGGGCAGCCCATTCCAATGGCTGAGCAT